ATTTTCTGCAAAAGCTTCCACAAAATTTTTATTGCCAATTCACCCCCCTCTTGGCCAATTTCGTCATTCGATTAACTCAACAATTGTGTTATGGGAAAGCAGAAGAGAGTGAAGTTTGGCACCACTATACATAATACAAAAGGTATTGTAGATTATATTCACTCAGATGTATGGGGTCCTTCAAAGACATCGTCTTTGGGAGGAAACCATTATTTTGTAACTTTTGTAGATGACTTTTCCAGAAGAGTTTGGGTGTATCCGATGAAGTCTAAAGATGAAGTGCTTCAAATTTTCCTGAAATGGAAAAATATGATCGAGAACTAGACTGGTAGAAAGATCAAACGTCTTAGGACGGACAATGGAAGGGAATATAAAAGTGACCCATTCTTTGACGTTTGCGATGAGTATGGTATTGTTTGACACTTCACTGTTAGACATACACCACAACAGAATGGGGTGGCAGAGCGTATGAATCGAACACTATTGGAGAAGGTTCGATGTATGTTGTCTAATGCTGGGTTAGGCAAGGCATTTTGGGCTGAGGCTGTGACATATGCTGGCCATATCATTAATCGTCTGCCGTCATCAGCGATAGAAGAAAAAACACCATTGGAGGTATGGTCTGGAAAACCTACTACTGATTATGATTCCTTACATGTATTTGGATCCACTGCTTATTATCATGTGAAGGAATCCAAGCTTGATCCGAGAGTAAAGAAGACTCTCTTTATGTGAATCACCCATGGAGTGAAGGGATTCCGCCTTTGGTGTTTAGACACCAAGAAGATAATTTGTAGCAGAGATGTTACATTTGATGAATCTGCCCTAGTAAAGAAGGTAACAAGTGAAGCTGTCCAAACAAGTAGTACTCCGCAGTAGGTGGAGCATACTCCAAAACAGGTGGAGTTTCAGCAGACGATGATCCCAGAAGTTGATGCGGCTGATTCTTCAACTCCAATAAAAGAATTAGAAGATGAAGAGGTTCAAACCCAAGAACCATTAGAGACACCAGAAACACTTACAGTTACAAGGCCAAGGAGAGAAATTCGTAGACTTGCTCGATTTGTTGATATGGTGGCCTATGCTCTTCCAGTTGTTGATGATGATATCCCTATCACTTACCAAGAAGCAATACAAAGCATGGAAAGTGATAAGTGGAAAAGTGACATGGATGAAGAAATGAAATCTCTCCAAAAGAACAACACTTGGAAACTGGCACAATTACCGAAAGGTAAAAGAGCCATTGGATGCAAGTGAGTATTTGTAAAGAAAGATGGATCTCATAACAAGAAAAATGTTTGCTATAAGACACGGTTGGTAGCTAAAGGCTACGCTCAAAAGGAGGGAATCGACTACAATGAAGTATTTTCCCCTGTTGTGAAGCATTCCTCCATTAGAATATTGTTGGCCTTGGTAGCACAGTTGAATTTGGAGCTAGATCAACTTGATGTAAAGACGGCTTTCTTGCATGGTGATTTAGAAGAAGAGATCTATATGACTCAACCAGAAGGATAAAAAGATGGTGGTCGTGAGAAATGGGTTTGTAAGCTGAACAAATCGCTATATGGATTGAAGCAATCTCCGAGATAGTGGTACAAGCGATTTGATAGCTTTATGAGGAGGCAAAAGTATACTAGAAGCAAATATGATCATTGTGTGTATTTGCAAAAGCTCAAAGATGGATCTTTCATTTATCTTCTCTTGTACGTTGACGATATATTGATCGCTTCGAAGAGTTAAAAGGAGATAGACAAATTAAAGGCTCATTTGAATTAAGAGTTTGAGTTGAAAGATCTAGGTGAGGCCAAGAAGATTCTTGGTATGGAGATAAGCAGAAATAGACAGAGAGGAAGGCTTTGTTTAACACAGAAGCAGTATCTGAGAAAGGTATTACATTGTTTTGGCATGAATGAAAATACCAAACATGTAAGTATCCCATTGGCTTCTCATTTGAAACTTAGTTCTATCTCCTAAAACTAACGAAGAACGAGTGTATATGGCAAAAGTTCCATATGCTAATGCAGTTGGGAGCTTGATGTATACAATGGTGTGTACGCGTCCTGACATTTCACAAGCAGTTGGAGTTGTGAGCAGGTACATGTATGATCCTGGAGAAGGACATTGGCAAGCTGTGAAATGGATTCTACGGTATCTCCAACAAATCGTGGATGTTGGTTTAGTTTTTGAACAGGATGAAGCACTTGGTCAGTGTATGGTTGGATATGTTAATTCCAATTATGCTGGTGATTTGGATAAGCGTCGATCAACTATTGGGTATTTGTTTACTCTTGCTAAAGCCCTAGTAAGTTGGAAGTCTACATTGCAATCTACAGTGGCCTTGTCTACTACAGAGGTAGAATACATGGCAGTTTCAGAGGCTGTAAAGGAAGTAATTTGGCTTAACGGGTTGATGGAAGACTTGGGAGTTGTTCAAAGTCACATTAGTCTCTATTGTGACAGTCAGAGCGCTATTCACTTAGCGAAAACTCAAGTCTACCATTCAAGGACTAAGCATATCGACGTGAGGTATCACTTTGTGCGGGAGATCTTTGAAGAAGGAAAGATTCTACTTCAGAAAATTGCGACATCAGAAAATCCTGCAAATATGATGACCAAGGTGGTAACAGTAATCAAGTTCAATCATTGTTTGAACTTGATTAACATCCTGAAAGTATGAACACCTTCGGGTGTGTGGCGCTTGTGAGCGCAATTAGAGGCACTACAAATTTGGGGAGTTGAAGAAGTTGAGTAGGCTTGGTAATTTCAAGCCAAGGTGGAGATTTGTTAGATTTGTCTAGAAATTAAGTTGACAAGTTGGAAATTTCATCTTGGTTGGTGGCCAACTTATTAGAAATTTCATCTTGGTTGGTGGCCAAACTTTGAACATGTGAATTTCATATTTGGTGGCTAACTTGTACACATTGAAAAATTCTTTGGTAGGTGGCCAAACTTTGAACATATTGTTCTTGAAACTCAACTATAAATAGGCCTAAGTATTTCCATTAGAAATAATCCCAAAAACAAGTTCTCTCTTCCTCTTGTATTCTTCATTCTCCCACTTTGGGAATTCCAAAGAATTCCATTTGTTGTAATATTGGAGATATAGTGAAGTTATCATCCGGTGTGGTGCCCGAGGAGTAGACGATATTCTCGTCGAACCTCGTAAATTTGGTGTGTTCTCTCCTTTATTATTTTTTAGTCGGTTCTTTTCCATTGTGTTTCAATATTCAATAGTTTGACAGGTTTATCCGCTGTGCAACCTTTGGTGGTTTTAATCTTGACATTTTAGGTCAATTTTAAAACTATGTTCATGTGGGAAATAACCCGTTTTCCCCAACACACGTCTCATAGGATCAAGGCACCTGACCTTGTCGACAAGTTGAGAAGTACATTCCCTCGATACAATTATCTTAAAAGGTGCATCTCTCGCTGAAGTATAATATGTATATTACTATATTCTTCTTTTTATTATTACTATTTTACATGCTAGGGTTTTTCTTTTTCATGTATAATTCTCTTCTGGGAAATGCTCACGTGCGGCAGTCTTAATATACGGCTAAAAAAAGTTATCGGCTTTGTTATTGTTTAAATAACAAAACATGTAAAAAATGACCGAAAAAATTATTAGGCGCTAAAATATGACCGATTTTATTATTATTGAGGTTTTAACCGGATTTTCAAAAAAATAACTGGAAATATTATTAAGCGCTAAAAAATGACCGAAAATATTATTAGACGTTAAAAATGACCGAAAATATTAAAAAATAATATTTTAAGTAAAAATAATAATATTATCAGTAACTTTTTATGAGTTTTATTATTTAAACAATAATAAAATTGGAAACACTTTATTTTAACATTATATTAAGGTCACGCAGTGTAGAACTTCCCTCTCTCCTTTTTGATCAAAATCACTTGTGCATTGGCAGCTTTATTGAGGGAGAAATGCTTAGTTCAGAAAAATTACACTGGTCTTGGAAGAAACTCTCGAGGTTTCCATTGAAAGCTACATACAGATATTCTTTATTTTATAATTCGAAATTAAATTCAAATGTATGTAACAAATTGTATTTGCATTCAGGTAAGGGGTAAGTAATGCTGGTTCAAATATAACTATTTATATATATTTCAAATATGTAGGGAATGGTGATTTTAACATCCGAATCTATAAATTATTCAAGTTCAAGTTCAAATATATATATATCAAAATCGAGTTGGCATCTCTATTTGAGAAAGAAGACGACAATGAGATATTTAGGGGCATTTGGTTCACGGAATGTAAGATTACCAGCGAGAATAAAAGATTACCAGGGAATAGGATTACTGGAAATGTTACATTATTGTGTTTGGTTAGTTTGGCAGGAATATAAGATTACAGTGTTTGGTTGAAGGAATAAAAGATTACTGGAATGTATATTTTACCAAATTGTCATTGTTCTATATTTTTTAACAAGTGAATTCTAAATATTTAAATAAAAAATTATTTATAAAAATTTTATCTGTTGATAATATATTACTTGAGTATTTAAATATATCATGTATTATTTTAATTTTAATTAATATTAAATTTTACATAATTTATGTAAAAAATTATTAAAATTTTACATCAACATTTAACTAAATGTTTACATTGTGAAAACTAGCTTCGGTTCATACTTGATGCATTCACTGAGAGGTTTTTTGTATTTTTCAATCGACAAGGTTTACATTCTTTTATATACAATAATTTATTATAGATATTCATAATAATAAAAATATGTAAATTATTTTTGTTATCTAAGATATAATATTTATTATATCTTCTATATAGAATAATTTATTTATTTTTTATATTTATACTTAATTCTGCATACTTTATCATTATTATTTATCTCATGAATTTATATTACAAAAACATAATTCAAATAAGTAAGAAAATATAACACTAAAAATCATATTATCTATAATTTTATATTTCACCATCATTCATCATTATCTTTGTTAATATTTTAATAAAATTATTAATACTCGGTCCTAAAATGATTTGCATCGAAACTGAAGGGCCCTCCTGGTCCGAAGGATGAGAGACTAATGGTGGTTGCCTTTGCAGCCAATGGATTGAACTTGGGTGGGGCTGTTTCAGACTCTGCCTTCTTAGCATGCAAGGAAGATTGTTCTGACAGCGGAACTACTCCATCGCGTCCATGGAAAAGCCTGAATGCCATGTCAAAATTTGGCCCGTCTTCAAAAATCGGACCATTTGCTCCTCGTACCTGAGGTGTAGAAGTTAATTTGAACTTGAACCAAGAACATGATGCAAGAAACATAAAGCTCATAACATAATGATCCATAATCTTACCGGCAATGGAAAGGACATGGCTGACGAGAAAGAAAAGTTTGTAGGCTCATTAATGTTTCTAAAAAATGGACACCTGAGGATTTCCATTTGAGAAGTTGCGAAGTCCTCGTGTAAGCTTCTGAATGGAAAATTCATTTTAAAGTTACCTGCACAAAGACATAAGAACTAGTAATCCAAATCTAAGAATAGATAAAGCCCATAATGATTACATCTCTTAGCATCAAAAGAACCGTACATATATGAACAAATTAAGACCGAATAAAACCATTGACAAAACAAATCGATGCCAATTTTACTGTAAAATAAAATCAAACATATTTGAACAATTACAGCAATCCGATACAGAGAAAAAAAAGGTAGAGTTTAAGCTTTCAAACAATAAAATGTCAAAAGCACAAACAAATTCAGAACCATAACTCTACCAAACACAAGGAATTCATCCGTGAATGAATATAAAAGCATTGCAAATTACTCTTAACAAACTGGTATGAGGAATCTTAAGCTAAAGTAAAAACAATCGATAATGGATGATAAAATTGAAGCCTATAAATAGTTGATTCTCCAATTATTCTTCCAAAGACTTGAAATCTAATAACTAGAACAATTACCACATAGATCAAAGAACAGAAGCCCGTACACAGTTGAAATCCATTATGTGGATCAACAAATTTCAACAAAAACAACGAATTCCCTTTCAAAATAATACTCGCATGGAATTATGAAAATTTTACAAATCCAGGAAAATAAGTGAAAATTTTACCTTCTAGATGAAATTTCAATAAATTTCAACAAAAACAACGAATTCCCTTTCAAAATAATACTCGCATGAAACTATGAAAATTCTATCACAAATCCATTTTTCTTTTAATATCCTTTTCACTCAATTAACCAATAGACTCATGCAACATTATTTTATGCATTTCTACTCAGAACTCTGTGGGAGGAGATTACTAAACTAAAACTAACAAAGTTAAAAATGCAATTTACAGTTTTTGACAAATAATAAGAGAATTGGATTAATTTGAACCCATCTCTATAATAATAAGAGGATTGGATTGAACCCATCTATATACTAAACAGACCAAATCGGCAAACAAATAAAATTTACCATCAACTCCATTTGCTAGAACACTTGAATGCCATCACAACATAGTTGTGTTTCTCTACAAGTTTTACAGTATACTACAACATTGATTGTTACTCTTAGCCCGGCTGTAGAACATCTATTTCAATAACCAAAAGAGGATTGATATTAGAAACAACATGTGGTTGTTCCAAAGGTACAATAAGGTTCGACTCCCAGCCCGTGTACTGACTCTGGACAAGGATGGACCGAGCGGGTGGGTGTTGCCTCCTTAAAATTTTAAAATTGCCATATATTTTAGATTTTTTCTATGTTTTTTTTAAAATCTGTTTTAATCCTCCTAGAATTCTATAAATTTGTTCATTCTTAAAATTTTAGATGTTCGCCCACTGATTCCGGATATATTTCGATTATTTAGTCCACAGTTGCGCTTTATAACTATTAATTCTAATTATAGTCTATTTCGATATAATTGTAACTCCAAAAGAAAAATAATATGCAAACTGGATAATGCAAAATAGGATTATATTGTGTTGCACATGTACCTGAGATGCCGCACTGTGATCTAAACTCTTTTAAACTAAACTGTATAGCTTCTCACCTCGTACAAGCATGCTATCAATTGTTTTATGCTGCATCAAAGACATAATCATTTCAATGATTGAGAGAACTTCTAATCAATCAAATCCAAGCTAACACAAATATACCGATATTTTTCTATTTATGAACAAATCTTTCTTTTGAGATGATATAATTCATTACAACATTACAAGGAAAAAAAAAGATTCAAATATGGAATAGTGAACAAACAGAACATTGGAGCTGAGGATGACATCGCAGTACGATAGCTCAAAGCTAAAAGGAAACAACACAAACTCGTCATTTTTCCCACAAAAATAGAAAATTGCATACAAGGATGATTTTAGTCTCATCCAACTCCCTTTGAATTTTCAATAATTTATCAGCCTCTACAGGGTCCTGAAAACGGTAAAAGGGTTATGTAAGGTTTTTCAAATATAACACTCCTATAAAGCTATAATATTATACTTAGAAAAGAAAATGTGAGATTAATTTGAAAGGTGTAAGTCTCCATATTTAAACACACCAGAAATGAATAAGAGATAAAACAGATACCTGAAACTTGGTCAAAGCCTCATCCAAATAGGGCTAAATTTGAGTGCTATCAGCTTCTGCAGTTCTCCATGATTCCCCAAAATTTCTCTGATATTCATCCACCACCTGCCAAGCATTACCGTTTGAAATTTTCCAAAGATCTCACAGAAGAACATCAAATCTCACAAACATATTTCAGAACACCATATGTCAAACGTGAGGAATGTGACCCACAGACTCTAAACGTCATCTTAAACTCTTAATGTATTATACTCACAGACACAGACATAGACACATCCACCTCCACCCATCGTCCCAACAATCTAGTTATTGCTATAAGATGCAAAGAGAGGGATTGAGCCGGAAAATAAGACTAAGCTATAGTTAAGCTAGCAAGTAAGCAGAGAAACAAGAATGAGCTGAGGTCCGAGACAGGAAATGAAGAAAAACTAAAATCTAGGAACATGGAAGCTAAACAGGGAGTTACAAGCTGAGAGCTGGTGGGTCAAGTACCAAAAAGAGGGACGTGTAGGAGGAATAAATCAGTGGTTACTGAATAAGGTGAGATTATGCCAATATTAGGACAACTATCAATAATTGTTGCTCCTATACATTATAGTTCATTCCACAATAACTGAATCTATAAAGATCTATTCATGTAAACACGACCGCAATCATCAATGAATATATCATTTCTCTAATTCCTCTCTTCTTCTCTATTTTCCCTTTCCATTCATTTCCTGCTATAATCAGTCTCAGGCTATGAGAACCTGATAATATAACCACAGAGAACGCCAGTGCAGAACACCAATAGTGCAGTCAATAAGATTTGATGATACTGAATTATAAGGTAAATTATGACACAGAGAAGATAAGAGTTACACTCCGTTATATTACTTGGTTGAGAAGTGAAAAAGCACTTCGAACAAGATAATGACTATCCATAAATCCAATTGCACAAAGTCCATTTCTGTTGTAAGAATGTACCATGTACTCTACATTAAAATCACCAAACATAAATAAATAAATAATTATTATCATAATTAACCAAAGATCTTCTCAAACCTAAAACATAATCATGATATTGATTTTACTGATAAAATCGAAATTTCAGAAAATATTTTCTTTAAAAAAAGGCAATGTAATACACGATAAAACAAAAGAAGATGCACAGACGATGTTATTGATCTAATTGCCAGAGATATTAATAATCAAGGAAACGAATATTATCTTGTAATGAGAAAAAATTAAGAAAGGTTCACAGAGGAGGGACCTTCGTGCTGGACGGACTGGCGCTGACCAGGAGAGGTTCGTTTGCCGACGGTTCGAGAGACGAAGACGATGAACTCCCTAATGCTTGGCCTTTGGAAGAAACCGAAATGGCTCACGTCGGATGCATTGGCTAGTATTATGGGATCATATCCTTCCGGCTGGCACTTCAACACCAATAACACAGTGATTTTCATCTTTCCACTTCTCTTTCAATTTTCCCTAACAAAAAAATGACAAAAACAATTTAGTATCTTTCGCTCTGCAAAAAGATAAATATAGAAAATATAATCTGAACGCCAGAAGGGAGATGGGAGACTAATACACCAGAAGCAAATCTGAACGCCAAATGGAAGAAGAAGCATATTTTCTTTCAGCCAGAACCAAGCGGGGAGAAGGGTGTTTTAGACAAGAGGACCGGAATGAGCAAATACCTAAGAAAGATGGGGGAATGATATTTCTAGGAAAACAGGAAAAAAATATCACTGACGGTATTCATTCTTTACCTGCACTTGAGAATATAACTCCATCCAAACGTGGGTATCATTACCTGAAAAAAAAACATTCCTCCTAGGAATAAAAGATGACGTGAACCAAACGAGTCCTTAGTCTTTTAGCGGTTGTTATATTAATTATGATTAAAATTAAATTAATATAATATATAAATATCTAATATTAAATTTTTTATTATTTTAATTTAAAAATTGATACTCAATACATTCATTAAGGGGGTGTTTGGTTCAAGGATTGTGGGATTCCCACATGGGAATCCCACATTCCCATGTTTGGTTGGTCGGGAATCTCATTTCCGGTAATGTTTTATTACCAATAATAGATTTTTTAGGGTATATTACCGGGAATGTCATTACTTCTCTTCCCTTAGGTATTGTAACATTACCGGCGTTTTGGACTAAAATGCCCTTAAATTTTTATTTTTATTCAAAAATATCATTATTTTATCATTGAATAATAAAAATTCTACGAAGGTTAAATTACAAATTTATCCTTAAATTATTTTAATTTACAAAAAAAAAGTCTATAATTAAAATTTTATATGAAGTTCAAGAGTTAAAATTTTTGTTTACCCTTTCATTAAACCTTTTTTATATTTTTAATTTTGTAAAAAATATATATATAAATATTATGAATTTAATTTTTTTAAAGAAAATATATAAATATTTTACAATTTGTAATATTATACAAATATATAATAAGAACAATTTGGTCAAATATATATTCCAATAATCTTTTATTCCTTTAACCAAACACGGTAATCTTACATTCCTGCTAAACCAACCAAACGCAAAATACAACATTCCCAGTAATCCTATTACCTGATAATCTTTTATTCCCACTAGTAATCTTACATTCCGTGAACCAAACGCATCCTAAGTGCTCTTAGCAGTTAAGAAAAAGTTTTATTCTTCTTAAAGGTCTTATGTTTATGTAACTCCGTCTGCGTGATGTGTATTATTGTTAATAATTAATTTTTTTTAAATATATATTACTTTTTAATCATCTCAAACTATTAAAAATGATATTCTAATAAATTTCTTAATAACTTAATGAAATATAACTAAAATGAATAACATTTATAACTTTAATAATAAATTTGATTTTTTTAATTCAATGATTAAATTTGAATAAAACTAGTAATTGATTGACCAATGAAATACTTTACCAGATAAAATTAAAAGACAACATAGGTCAAATCTAGATACTCATAGGTCAAATCTAGATACTCAATTAGACCTAATAAACTTGATCTAAA